TGTGAGGAGAACACTGTGAGGAGGAGAATACTGTGAGGAGGAGAACACTGTGAGGAGAACACTGTGAGGAGAACACTGTGAGGAGGAGAACACTGTGAGGAGGAGAACACTGAGGGGAGAACACTGTGGGGAGAACACAGAGGAGGAGAATACTGTGAGGAGGAGAACACTGTGAGGAGAACACTGTGAGGAGAACACTGTGAGGAGGAGAATACTGTGAGGAGGAGAACACTGTGAGGAGAACACTGTGAGGAGAACACTGTGAGGAGGAGAATACTGTGAGGAGGAGAACACTGTGAGGAGAACACTGTGAGGAGAACACTGTGAGGAGGAGGAGGAGAATACTGTGAGGAGGAGAACACTGTGAGGAGAACACTGTGAGGAGAACACTGTGAGGAGTGTGAGGAGAACACTGTGAGGAGGAGAACACTGTGAGGAGGAGAACACTGTGAGGAGGAGAACACTGTGAGGAGAACACTGTGAGGAGGAGAACACTGTGAGGAGGAGAACACTGTGAGGAGAACACTGTGAGGAGGAGAACACTGAGGGGAGAACACTGAGGAGGAGAATACTGTGAGGAGGAGAACACTGTGAGGAGGAGAACACTGAGGGGAGAACACTGTGGGGAGAACACTGTGAGGAGGAGAACACTGTGAGGAGAACACTGTGAGGAGGAGGAGGAGAATACTGTGAGGAGGAGAACACTGTGAGGAGAACACTGTGAGGAGAACACTGTGAGGAGAACACTGTGAGGAGGAGAACACTGTGAGGAGAACACTGTGAGGAGGAGAACACTGTGAGGAGAACACTGTGAGGAGGAGAACACTGAGGGGAGAACACTGTGAGGAGGAGAACACTGTGAGGAGGAGAACACTGTGGGGAGAACACTGTGAGGAGAACACTGTGAGGAGGAGAACACTGGGGGGAGAACACTGTGAGGAGGAGAACACTGTGAGGAGAACACTGTGAGGAGAACACTGTGAGGAGAACACTGTGAGGAGGAGAACACTGTGGGGAGAACACTGGGGGGAGAACACTGTGAGGAGGAGAACATGGGGGGAGGACGTACATGGCGAGCATGCTGAGCAGCTTGGGGCCCCGCCCCGGCAGGCTGCACCAGGCCGACCCGTTAACCAGGGAGGGGTGTCGAAGACTCTGCAGGCAGCTCCAGCCAGAACCACAGCCTGAGTCGGGACTGGCCCACAGTTTCACCGTCTCCTCTTTGGCACAGGTGAGCAGCAGCTGACCTGAGGGACTCCACTTCATGCTGGTGATGGACTCCTGAAACACAGAGGGGGAGGAGTCAGGAGCCACACCTCCCACCGGGGACTCTAAGGTTGACCAGGTCACCTTGTGGGCGTCGATCACCACGATGGCTTCTTTCTCTAAGGGTTCTTTGGATCCGATCAGCAGCTTTCCGTCTGCGTAGCCCACAGCGAAGGGTTTGTCCTCGCTGAACCAGGCGATGTGCATCACTGCCACTGAAACAGAAGCACGGCTCAGCTCCACCTGCAGCTCTGAGCAACACCTGTGAGGTGAGGGGGAGGAGCGCTCCTACCGTCCTTCCTGTAGCAGTGCTCCAGCTCCTGGCGGTGCATGCTGCTGGAGTCTAGAACCCCGATCAGGCCCAGAGACCCGTCCATCCGGCCCACCAGCAGCATGTCTTTGGGCTCGCCGCACCACAGAGACTCCGCCTCCTCTTCAGGCCACGCCAGCGCCGACACCCAGTGTGGCTGAACGTCCAGGAGACCCTTCCCACCTGGAGGAGGAGGTCAGAGGTCAGTCAGCACAAAATCACTTCTTCTCTTCAGGATGAGACGGTAAAGATCCAGACTTTCTAAGATAAGTCTAAAGTTTGGACGGTTCTGCTCCTTCATGCACAATAAGAACTGAAAAATAAAAAGTTAAACTCAGCAGGAAACAAGACTAAGTCTGTCAGAGACCCTGCTGACTGTCAGGCTCCTCCTCCTCCAGGCAAAGATTTATCCAATCAGCAGCCTTCCTGCTGGTGTGGGTGGGTCTAAAGTTGACATGAATAAATTAAATGGTTACCATTAACTTGCCAGATGTTGACCATCTTCTCCATGGCAGAAGCCAGATATTTCCCAGTGACGCTCCAAGCCAGAGGAGAGAGGCAGGGGTCGCTGGGGGAGCCCAGWCCAGACATCTCCTCGTCAGAAGAGCCGTCACTGATGAGACAGAGAGAAAACATGAACGAGACAAACATCCATCAAACAACAAAAGATGAGGGGCTACATCCTGGAACACAGGATAAGCCTCATCAACAGAGAACAGAAAACAGTGATTTACAGTCTGTCTGCTCTAAATGATGACAGAACATCTGTTCTCTTGTCATAAAGTCAGGATGTTTTTAAACTTTAAATTTAGTTGCCTAAAACAACAGGAAATATAAACACAGACTGTTTAAACCACAGGAACTCACTGTTTGTTGAAGACGCAGGTCTGCTGCAGGCTGTACTGAGTCTTGGTGACGTTCCAGACCCGGACGGTCCCGTCGTTGCCGCTGGTGGCCAGCAGGCCCTTCTTGCTGCACCAGGTGCAGGTGATGACCTGCAGACGAGTCAGACATCAGCTGCAGAGAAACAGCAGCAGCAGCATGAACCTGCCGGGCAGAGGAGTGCCCACCCTGCTCTGGTGGGCCTCCAGCTTGATGAAGGAGCACTTCCGCAGGTCCCCCGCCATGTCAGCAAAGGTCTGCGGGCGGCTCTGGTTGTCGCGGTCGTGGGCGGCCAGCGTGCGCACCAGCTGCTGCGCCGCCCACTGCCGGTGCTGCGAGGACAGCCTGGAGGACAGGCAGCAGGCCGCCAGAGCGTTGGCCAGCTCCAGAGGGCCTACAGCGGAGGGAGGATGGGAAGGATGGGCATACAAATGCGCAATTAGACCTGCTTGACACGGAACACAAGGTGAGAAACACCTGGTGAGTGAGGGAAGGAACAACAACATGTCAAACACAACAAACAGTGAGTCAACTAAACTGGTGACATCATCCCAGACTTATACATCTAACAGTTAACCAGTTCAACATTCAAAGATTCATTCAGTCTGGTCGATGGGTCAGGAGATATTTTGCTAACAGACAGACAAACAGAGCTTTGTGGGCAGGTGATAAATATGGGATCAATTTTGTGTCAGCAGGAAGTGAACGTGAATTCTTCAGATTGAATCTGAATGTTCATAATTTGAAACCGAATTCATTGGTTTGAAAATAAATTTTATTAAATTGAAACTGAAYTTAAAGTTTTGTATCTGAATTAATTTKCTTTGAAACTGTATTTTGGTTTATTAAAAVTTCAGTTTGACTACTTTCACTTTCAGTTCCATAATTCAGATKTTTGTGTCACATCCTGGTCCTTGAGAAAGCCAGGCAGAGTAATCAAACACAGATCCACAGATTTATGTTTCACTTTGGTGAAGTTTCCCTTCTGGATGTAACAGAGTTGATGCAATCCACTGTAAAAGTGACAAAAACACACAAAGTTATTTTATTGCAGTGATTAATTTGACCTATATGTAGAAAATGTTACATTTACATGATGACATCATGGATCACATGTTGATCAGATGCTGCTGCTGACTGATCCATGATGTCATCATGTAAATGTAACATTTTCTACATATAGGTCAAATTAATCACTGCAATAAAATAACTTTGTGTGTTTTTGTCCCTTTTACAGAGGATTGCATCAACTCTGTTACATCCAGAAGGGAAACTTCACCAAAGTGAAACATAAATCTGTGGATCTGTGTTTGATTACTCTGCCTGGCTTTCTCAAGGACCAGGATGTGACACAAAAATCTGAATTATGGAACTGAAAGTGAAAGTAGTCAAACTGAGTTTTTAATAAACCAAAATACAGTTTACAAGACAATTAATTCAGATACAAAACTTTAAATTCAGTTTCAAATTWTACACATTCAGATTCAATCTGAACAATTCAAATTCAGCTCCTGCTGGAACAAGATGGATCCCGCAGTAAAGTCTGTCCACATCTCTGTCAGTCATGGAGCTAAAGGTGAACCTGTCCTCCTCCCTCAGCTACAAACCTCTCTTCTCCATGTCGGCCTTGTCGTACACAGGTCTGAGTCTGGCCCCCTTATCAGCCAGCAGGGCCACCAGAGCCTGCGTCACCACAAAGTTGGGCGAGGTGATGAGCTTGTTCTCCTCGGCCACGCCCCGCAGGAAGCTGGGGAGGAACTTCCTCTGGATGGGGTCGTCCACAGTGGTCAGGTTCATGCCTGTGGCTGCAGAGATCAGGTTCTGGAGCAGAGACACAGCAGCTGTGAACAGCTGAAGAGCAGCAGCCTATGGAACAACAGCTAAAGGTGTGTGGTTCTGAGGACCTGGACCTGGTACCTGTGTGCAGAGCTGCACCAGCAGCTTGGCAGCGTTGGAGCTGTTGGAGGCCAGGCAGCCCACAGCTGTGCTCAGGTAGGCCAGGCAGGAGATGGGTTTGCTGGCCTTGGTGGTCCCCCTSGGCCTTTCAGCGTGAGCCGAGCCCACCGTGGGGCTGGTGGACAGGCCGGCCCGACCCGCCGCTGCCAGGCACATGAGCCGGACCAGAGTCCTGATGTCGGTCAGACCCAGAGACTCCAGACCTGCAGCCAGGCTGCAGCTGGACCCGCTGTGAGGGAGACACACAAAACTTCAGAAAACTTTAAAAGTGCAGCGTGAAAAACTAAATTAGCATCTGAACAGCTAAAAGCTAAAACAAAACAGGAGCTAAAAGGTAAAAATGAAGCGAGCAGGCTAAAGTAGATTTATATTTATTATTAATAATGTTTTTTAAAGATTAAAGAGATCTCAACACATTTACATAAAAAACAATAATTCAAAATGTATAAAATTAAAAACATCAAATCATAACAACTCTGTTCTGAACAAACGGAACGTTTTGATTTATGAATCACTGAGTTACCTGACAGGTGTGTGTTGTTACCTGACAGGTATGTGTTGTTACCAGACAGGTGTGTGTTGTTACCTGACAGGTGTGTGTTGTTACCTGACAGGTGTGTGTTGTTACCTGACAGGTGTGTGTTGTTACCTGACAGGTGTGTATTGTTACCTGACAGGTATGTGTTGTTACCTGACAGGTATGTGTTGTTACCTGACAGGTGTGTGTTGTTACCTGACAGGTGTGTGTTGTTACCTGACAGGTGTGTGTTGTTACCTGACAGGT